CCAAAAATCCTGTCAATTTAAAAATAAAGTTAAATTTTTAGATACGATTCAAGTTTATTCGGAGGGGGGGGGGAGTCGGGGGGCGTTGAGATGAATAAAATGACCACTCCTAAGTAATTTGTCTTCACTATGGCAACAATCTCCATTTGGATATTTAGAAGAGAAATTGATTGAATGAAGATAAGGATCTAATTGAAAAGTAAATATTTCTTCTCTCAATCCATTTGTCTTCATTGTAGACACTTTTAAGCACTCGGTACTTATTCAAAGTATGAACAGATAAATAAGCTAATTGTTTGCTGATATATGAAAAGAAGGATACTTAAAAATTAACATGTCAATTCTTTCATCAAACTAGGGTGAGATTAACTGATATTTTTAGTGCAGTTAAAGTGAACAGATATGAATCAGAGATATAAAAATCTGTTTTCATCAAGTGATGTTTATATTAGCAGCTACAATATGCGTGTCGAACACAAGGTTATCAAAAACTGTTTATACTAAGTAAACTTCAATATATTGCTAACAAAAATGATTGGGATTAATTGAGCAATAATTTCGGAACTTTAACCACACACTGACCTTAGTCAGAGAGGAACACTGAAAACTAGAGAGTACTGGATAGGTGCTTCCTCTCATCATAGGTGTCTTCAAAACTAAGTAAGTATTCACGACTGTACCAGGAAAACTATGAGTCGGCCGGAAAGACGGATTGCGTGTCAAATTATGGGATTGATCGAGCAATAATTTGTGAATTTTGATGGCAGACTGACTTCAGTCAGAGGAACACTGATGGGAATCTGTAGTAGGTTGTTGAAAATGCTTTTGGAGAGTCTCATACAACAAGTCTCTGAGCCGCACAGAAGCAACGACCTAATGTTATTGTTTAAAATTAGAATGTTATTGGTTCTACTGAGTACTGTAGAGCTCAACGCTGGTTCCGGACAGTGAATGCCTTTCTGGCTTCCCGATCCTCGTTGGTCTTAACGTTCACATAAATGCCTCCTACTACTTCGGCATATAGTAGTGGTTGTCTGTGGATACTACTTTATTTTTAAGGCTTTTTTCATTGTTTCGCCCCTGTGTTATAAATAATTAAGATGCTTATCCTGTCACTCCTGGTTTTGGAGAATTTGAGTTCTAAACAATTTAAATTTATTTTAATATTAGGAATACACGGGCAATTATCACCTGAAATATGTTACCCAACAGAATTTAAATTCTTATTAAGGTTAATAAGCATTAGTTAGTCAATGTATATGTGTGTTTTATGGCCAGTCTCGAAAATAACTTCTTGTCATCGACCATCACTGACCTCCGTCTTTACAAGAGATACATTGATGGTGTTTTCATCATTTGTGATGAGAACCTGAACCTTGAAAACTTACTTCAAACCTGCCCACCAAAACATCAACTTATCTTGAAGCTGAATCCGACGGAATGTTCTACTTCCTCGAAGTCCATCTGACAAGAAACGCTAACAACTCTCTAATAGGTCCATATACAAAAAGCCTACATGGAATTGACAATTCATCAACTTTAAAAGCTTCGTAACCCTAAACAGAAAGAGGAATCTTATATACACTCTTTCCTCGAAGATTCGGAAGATAAGCAGTAAGGAAGTGATTGACGAAGAACTGTGTAATCTCCTAGGAACCCTGATGGAAAACGGTTTTCCGCCTAGGTTTATAGACAAGAATCTAGAATCAAAGAAGACTTCTGAATAAGTCCAATCCGTCCCAAATAAGGTACTTCTCCTTAATCTAGAATCCAAAGGCGAAACTGAAGCAGAAGTCCTTCGTAGACGCCTCTGCAGATCCCTGAGGAAAGCATACTTCTCCGCAAGCCTACGACTGACGTTTCCCTGCAAGAAACTGTCCAACCAGAATGCGAATGACAAGCTGTCACATTGGGCCACTTCAACGTCCATATACCAGTTTACTTACTCGTGCGGAGCTGAGTACATCGGCTGTACCATGCGCCAACTTGAAAAACGCGCTCATGAACACTATCCACAGTCTGGCTAGTAAAAGGAGAACGATTCTGGTCGATTCAGCGCCATTCGAAAAATCCTTCAGAATAATATACAAGATTCAATCAAACCTATCAAAGGGAGCAAGATTAAGTCATCCGGGCATAGCAGAGGCACTAGCCATCCAAAAGTTGAATGTGTATACGTTATTATTTAGCACTATGATGTAATTCACTGTTTGGATAAGTGAATATCATGTTTTGTTTGACATTGGGATTCATATTGTCCATATCTTTAGAATTCTGTGCTTAAGACAAAAGAGATCCCAGTATGAATCATCCATTTGCACCCTTGCTTGACCGACATGAAAGACTGATACATTCACGTATGACTGTTGACAACCACCACTTCAAATAACTCCCATCATGTCAGAATAAACAGGGTCGGTGTTTCAGCGGTAGAATGCTCGCTGAATATACACCTGATTCGAGGCTCAGTCCTCGGCCAACGCACTTCTAAAACCTTGCCTCCTAGGTAGTACATCAGGTAAAGCCGGAAAGTCAAGCGTGAATTAGGCAACCTCACGCCGTAAAAAAAAACACTACTGATGCAGAAAATCAAAGCTAAAGCTTGAAGCCCTATGTTCCACTCGGAACTTAAGGGAGTTAAAAAAATCCGAAACATCTAACAGCACCACTAGGTCCTTGTTCACTGACAGTAATGAAATTAGTGCACGCTGTCAGCAGAAACTTTAAAATTTCACCGCTGATCATGGTAAACTGTATGGAAAATATCAAATTACTGGATAAGTATCATTAGAAATCAACTCACCTTCACTCTTTCAGCATCAAGAGAGATCCATCCATGGTCCATGTTATAAACAATTATAGAAAGTTGAAATCTTATACTACCTTTTTAACATTATTTAGTTAGTAAAATCTGTGAGGAAATTCACCGTTTAACTTGCTGAAAATCTCATGACTATTAGCTGTTGACTAATAAATACGATGTCATTAAAGCAACGTTTGAGATTCATGTGTTGGTTTGCAGGCATTTGACTAGTTTCAGGATTTCATCATGAACTGACTTCGGTTAGAGGACCATTGGAAAACCAGCTGGAAGTACTGCATAGCTGTTTCCTCACATTGCTTGGGACTCTTCATCAGTACGCGCCCACTGAGGCTCGAACTTAAGACGTTCTTGGTACAAGGTAAGCTTGTAGATTATTAGGACACTGGGACCCGATCCAATGGCCAGTGCATGAGTTCCAACTTCTGCCAGTTCACAATACGGCGCGACCACTAGCCAATGTCGTTGGTGGCGAGTATTTGTTTTCACACCCAACCTGCTATATCCCACTGATCACGATTTCCCACTACCTACTTGATTGCTGAATTGAGTTATTATACTGCGAAGTGGGCTCCGTTTTACACTAACATCACCAAAAGAATCAAATTCCATCCTACTTTCGAACTAAATGATAATAAACCTTCTAAAAACCCGTGGGAAATTGAGCCCAAAACGGTTAGGCAACAATCAGGCAACAAGGCAGAATCAGACGTCGGTGAACTACCATTTCTAGACTGCCTAGTTAAGAGAAAAGAAAACGGACATTTTAGTATATCCATATTCAGGAAGAAAACCCACTCCAATAAATATTTAGACTTCAAATCATCACACTCCATCCGCGCAAAGATTTCAGTTGTTTCAAGTCTTCTTAGACGAGCACACTCTCTGATAACGGATGATAAAGAAAAAGAAGAAGAAATATCAAACATTACTGAGACTCTCAAGCAAAACAACTACCCAAGGAACTTCATCAACAAAATCAACACAGACATTAAGTATGGCCGAATACGCATCCGAAAAATGGAGATCAACAGTTGTCATAGGGCATAGTCGTATAGAGCAGAGACGTCAGACGATATCAGAAAAGTTCCCAATCAGCTCGACATAAGATTTTTCTTCAAAACATCCGACACACTACGAAACAACTTCGTCCATATAAAATACCAAATCCCTAAATTTTCTCTATCTAAATGTGTCTATAAAATAAAATGCTTGGAATGTGATGCGATCTACATCGGACAAACATTTCGAGAAATCAAAATCAGAAGAAATTGACACCGTAGAGCATCTCTTCGACCACCGAGAAACCCAGTTGAACTAGATAAACTTGAAAAACCATCAGCCATAGGTCTACACGATATAGAATCAGGCCACAAAAGTGATTTTGACACTATTGAAATAATCCAGAAAAACTTCAGAAATCACAAAGAACGTCTAATATCAGAAGCACTTCATATCAAGTGGAATCCAAATTGCTTGAATAGGAATGATGGACTAAAAGAGAATTTGACCTGGTTACAACACCTCCCTCCCCCATGAAGTGACAAAATCAACACAAATGTGACAAACAAGTTCACTATGCAAACACACACTACTTTTATAATTTTACACACTGATCAAATCCAGCAATCTACACTTAGCTTTGTTATGTTTACCGATTGGCCAACTTGACAACCAAAAATGACCCCAGACTAACGAACGATGGTCAAGTTAGTAAACTTTGTTTTGATATCATAACAGATGTACTATTACCTTTGTTATTTGGTTTAGTGATCTCCAGTGTTATTTTGACTTTCAATACGTCCTTTTAACTTGACCTGAGTCTATTTTCTCAGCTCTTAACTCTTTGTTATATATATGCTGAGATTCTGTAAATTCCGGTTTAATACTTTGATAAAGCTGTTAGCATTAAATAGCGAAACGTCAGTAAAAACAGCAATATCGTTTTGTTTTTCATTAATTGGGAAATACGAATTCCTTTATTATAATGTTAGGCAATAAGGCAAACACATTGTCACTCAGTCTATACGCAGGAGTTTAATGACTCATGGTTCACAACTTTGGTTAATTCATTATTTGGTCCCACCTCGATCCAACACTAAACACGAAATGAGTGATGAATACAAATAAGTAATTGTTCCTACATTTCAACATTATACTGAACCGTACGAACCATGAATTTAGACAACAGTATGAACAGATATATTCATTAAGGTTGAAATTTAGATTACATCATACATGTTTAATAACGTAGATGAAAAACAAAAAAGGAAACTCACTACCATGTATGCGTATATGCAAATATATATCAAAAATACTACAAAAAAGTGAAAACTGACACACACACACACACCCACTTGTCGTCACAAAAAAGGCACAGTTCTTAAAAATGACCTCTGTTTTCACCATAATTTATATTCGTGTAAATTCATTTGTCATACCGACAACAGTATGTCTGTGCGATTTAATAAGACGATAGTTACGTGGTCGATATTTCACATTAAATACATGACATCGTTTCGAATCATAGAATTTATTACCACTAACTAGTGCAGCTATTTCTTCTTGAGTATTACAATTAAGACGAGAGAGTTTTTCACGTTTCATCTGACATAATGCCAATAACCAGTCAGGCTTTTTATTTTCTAAACTAGCAGAACGTTTTAACCCTTTTGCACTGAGTAGTTTATTATCAGATGCCTCATATACTCCTGTGACACTGGAAGAACGTTGTGTACTGGAAGTGATTTGATTTCCTCTTGAAGTTCGACTTCCATCGGTTAGATGAGATACAGGTTCAAAGACATCATCACAGTCTAGTTTGTGTTTCTCATTGATGTTCATACTTTTGCATGCCAATGCTGCAAGGAATATGTCTTCATCGGAAGGCACACCCAGAGAACGTAATCTCAACCAAAAAGGAGGATAGTCTAAACTATCTTCTTCTAGATCTTCATGAGAACGTAGACGACGTCGAGGAGGAGGAGGATTATGACCTTCAGTAGTGAAAGAATTCTGTTTTCTTTGTCTTATTCTCTTGTTATCTGAAGTTGTACTATCAACTGTTGATAATTTCGGTGATAATTCTTCTGTAAGTAAAGAAGGATTAAAACTTGATTCTGAAAATCTTCGTGTAAATTGTAAACGTTGTAAGTCAAGTTGTCGGCAAACCTTGTTTTGTGCTTTAGCTAAACGATCATGATTCAGTTGAAGTTTACGATCTTCAAGCTCATGCAGGAGTTTTAAACGTCTTTGTGCTTTGTGGTGACTCGATGTATATCCAGACGAAGTTGTTGGAAGTTTTTCTGTGTTATATGAAATGTCCATTGAGCGTTAGTAATTTATCATGATTCTCGGATTAAAATATCTACATTAATTCAAGAAATGAATATGTTGTATATATACTTATGATACATAACAAGTTTTTTTTCTTATTTTTTCTGCATTACATACTCTAGTCTGATTGGTTGTGGGGTTGATTTTGGTCCCTGGAGTATGAACTTTATTCAGGTTTCCATAATTACATGTATACACATGCCTTTATATTGATTCGTATCAAGTTAAACTCAGATAAGTTCTATTGTATATAAAGGGTAAACAGGGGAGACTGTATTTTCTATGTGTTATATCAATGATAGAGTGAATATATTGACTCTTTGATAAACGTGTGTTGCATGTATGCGTAAAAGATATGTAAAAAGAAAAAAAAAGAAATGCTAATATGTAGACCTAAAAGTTTATCACCATGTTTTGGTTTCATATATTGTTTATGCGAAAGTAAATACAAAGAGAGAGAGAGAGGTAGAGAGATATGGAGACAGAAAAAGCCGTCATACAAAGACGGCCAAGTACAGAAAAAATACTTTCAGGCACATGATGAATGACACTTTATATGAATGGCAAAATGAAGTGACTTAAAGTTTAGGGTGAGTTTTCCGTATTGTATTAAAAGCTATAAATTTAAAATATCAAGACTGTCTTCGCTCACTACTACTCAAGATCAGATGGCTGGTCAGAAAAGATCAGCAACAAGAAGCTCTAGGAGCGAACCAACCCAGCAGGAATCGATTGTACAACAAATAAGCAGGAAGAAATGGAGTTAGGTAGATTGGAGGCCATACTCTAGTGATATCACACGACAGGTACTCCGGAGGAATCCGAACGGGAAGCGGCGAGTTGGTTGTCAGTGTGAGGGTGACATGGAGGAGGAGGTAATGTGAAGAGAAGATGGAAACATGAGGGCCAACATGGAGCCAAAGAACCGAAGGCACTGGAGACGTGCGGCTGAAGCCCTATGTTCCTCTAGGAACTAAAGAAATCAATAATAAATAAAAACTGAATGATTAGATAAATCGAAAGTCAAAAAATACTGAGTGTGAGAAGAGAGAACTAGTGAGTAAAATCAAATGAAAACAAGTGATTCAACGAAGAGATTGCCCTTTCAAAGAATTTATTATCAAGTTGTACACTGACAAATGGAACGAGTGAAATAATACCGGGACAACTCAGACTGAGAATAGTAATAGTAACAACTGACGTAATGAAGGAAGAGTATACAAAGTGAATAGACCAAATGGAAAAATTGGTAGAGGCATGGTCTCAATCCCCTATTCTTTAGCATAGGGGGATTAGGACCATGAAAGTTGGAGGAGTTGGACAAAATTTTTCTGTACACAGAGATCTGGCTTTTCTGTTTCGACAGCCAAAGCTTCAGAAATACAGATGAGTCGGGTACGTAGGGATTCGGGTAAATTACTCCTTGCCTTGTAGATGACTTTAAAGGCGGAGACTGTAGAGATAGGATGATAAGAATAAACCAGATCTCAATGATCTTGGTTTATATTGCTCCACTTCCATCTCTTCACAACCATGCAGGATAGCGTTCTTACACCGTCTTAAACAAAACTTGAGTCAAGTGACCGATACGCCTAGCTCCACACGAGCAGGTGAATTGATAAACGCACATAGAGTTGTTCAACAGCGGGATCTTGTCCTTCAGGTTACTGGACATTAATGGTCAACTGGTAAACGCCATTCTCAAGGATGCAACAGGGATTGTTCTTCTCAGGGACGGTGAGATCCTTCTTTTAATGACATCAGATATCAAATCAAATGACAGACACGAATAATAAGTGTGTGGGTTTTCTGAAAAAAGTACCAATCCTTCTCAATCTTTCAAATCCCTGAATTACTTGGTCGTCGAATATACAGAGTAGTAACTCACTTGAAGTTTTACAATGAAAGCATACAGTCTCACTACTTTCTGCTTAAATTCATTAGATCACTACGTACTTGCAAACAACCATCTTACATCATATAAATTTGATGTATTGCTAAATCGACACTGAGAAACAACAAAATCTCTGATTTCAAAATTGAGAACTAGAGTCAGATTCAGCGATGATGCAGTCAATCGTTTGAATGTCATATTCTGCCTTTTATTGCTAAAGACATGAGAGAATTTTAAGAAATGCATTTAAACTCTCTACTCTTGAGGGATGGTAAGTAAAAATAAAAATTGCGATGCCTATTCAGGAAACAGAAAACTACATCAAAGATTATGATTCGAAAGACAAAATGACACACAGCTTTCATTGTAATCTTGTTTTAAGGGAGTACGTTGGTGAATTGACCACTAACTTTCAAAATGCAACATGTTAAATTATGGAACTATATGCCCTACATTTTATACGAATTCTGTGCAAGATTTGAACATATATTTCCACAAGCATTAGGCACTGAGTGAAACGTAGACATATATAAAAATCACTGGGCATCGGTGGCACAGCGGCTAGAACTCTCGCTGACCATGCACATGGTCAGGGTTTTGATCGCCTGCCAACGCACACCTGATATCGGCTACCGATATCACATGTTGAGAATTTCATACTTGTGTCAAAAATACGGTGTGGAATCATGCTATAATCAAAAAATATATATTTGTCATAGTCTTAGAGAAAGTGAAGCAAATCATTCCAATGTTTCATCCGGCAGACTGATCCGAACCTCTTCGAAGAAATAAGCAAAATTAAAATAACAAAAGGGCATATCTTTTCTTTAAAATTCTCATCCAGTCATGTCAAGAGTGCATTAAAACCTCTAAGAGGATATCAGTTGTTTTTCAAAATTCTATAAATATCCTGCTGACTGAGGTCAATAACCATGAAATGCAGGCCTAACTCTTCGTAATGACTCCGTCTAACTAGTAAAACATAGTACTTTAATGAGTCATCATTCATCTGAAGGCCCATATGAAAGACCACTGAATTGGTTCCGCTTGATTTGCTGATGCTTTTACTGAAAAAACACTGATCTGATGAATGTCACCAGTGGAATTGTAACAACAGAAGACAAGGGCCAGGCAACAGATCGTTTTATTACGGAAATCAACACGTATTTATATATATTTCATGTACATTATTATAGCTTATTCAAGCAGACAAACACAGTCTTCTGATGGTTGTTTCCTGTTTCTCGGAGAGTTAAGTCATATATCTGCGAATCATGTTTGCCCACGTTAAGTCTGCTGTGATTGGTTGTTGAATCAGCCTTGTTCATATTTTCTCACGGTCAATATTAGTGACCTAGACATTGACGTAAATTAATGTCTACCGAATGGCTAGCAGCCTGCTCTCACCACAGAATAATTTCACTCGTGCCTACTGAATTATTCTTTAAATATTCTGATTTTTAATATTAGAACAAGACATATAAGCGAAAAATACTGTTGTTTCCAATTAGATCTTCTTCTTCAGGCTTTACTCTTATTTACATAGATTTATGTATAAAAAATTTTAACCAATGACGGTGATTTTGTGGATCAAACAATAATAATAATGATAAGAATAATGTGGAAAATGTTTTGAACGTAATTAAAAACGATGATTATAATGACAACAAAATAGTGATAATAAGGTTTATGCGGGTAACGATAAGAATACGTGTAGACAATTCGATGAATAAATTAGGTCAAATCTTAAAAGTTACGTAGTACTAAAGGTGAAGTGGACAGAGTTTAAATAAATATCATAAAAGTACGAAAGGAAAGGAAAATAAGAAAGGGTAAGAGGGTTTTGATTAAAATTCATCTAGGTCAAGGGAGAGACAAAGGTAGAACAAACTTCTTTTGTATGCAAAGACTAGGATTGTTCTCTCGAATTAATTCCCATAGCTTCGACTACGTGTAAAAGACGGATTCGAATTCCGTTCGGAAGGCTCGGTGGAATGCGATAGATAGCTTTGAAGGCTCTATTTTTGTCCACTTGGTGACCGCTATCAATGAAATAAGCCAAAATAGAACTTCTTATAGATTTTATTTGACCTTTTCCAAACCATGAAGGAAGATGCTCATTAATGCGTTTGTCAAGCTGTCTAGCTGTTCGCCCTATATAGCTCTCTCCACAGGACCAACTAAACTTATAGATACACATGGAAGTGGCACAGCTAAGTAGCTTGTCTTCCACTTGATTGGCCAGCTGGAAAATGACAAACAAAGGGTGGCGGCAGTATAAGTCCGTGGTTGACTACATTTCCTGGGCGTCCAAATGAGCAGAAGAGAGGGTGATTCACTCAAGAGAGATGTCTATAGAAAACCTACATCTGTAGGACACATTTCCTCAGTTCTGTACCAATCCGATACAAAGTCAATTTGGTCAGATGCCTCACGAATGCAGCAAGACGTATCTGTACAGATGACTCCCTACAAAATGAGTTAGGATACATCCAAAATACCCTGGTCCAAATGTGTTATCCTAGTAGATTTGTAAGGAGACACATGAACATCAGGTACAATAAAGATAAACTAACAACAGTTGAAAAGAAACAACTTTTTACGAAATTGCAATTTAATGGGGACGTGGCTAGCGAAGTCTTACATCTGAGATTATCGAGAGCGATAAAACCGACTTATACTGCCGCCACCCTTTGTTTGCCATTTTCCAGTCTGATGACAGATCCTAAAAAAAAAACTTAGGATATCTTCCAAACTCTGTTCACCATTGGAGATAATAAGCCATTCTCTACGTATCTCTTGTAAAATCCAAAATTGCTGATAATCTCCCTTAAATGTAATTTCCAGTTTCGAAATTAAAACTCTGAAATTAGTGGTGAATCCGTAGATATACCATCCTTTTGTCAATATACCTGAAGCAATATGTAGCATATTAATATCAGTAAAAAGTTTGAGCATTGTGGATTAGATCAAATAAAGTATAATTATATTTTAATAATTTACACACAATGATAAGTTTTGTTATTGGTAATATTTCGAGCAGAATTACTGCCCGTGTTCACACCACAAAACAATTCCAACAGTGGTGTGAACACGGGCAGTAATTTTGCTCGAAATATTACCAATAACAAAACTTA